AGGGACGCGGGGCGCTTCGCAAACGTGGCGCTCCTGGCAACGCTCGCGGCCCCCTCGCGATCCCCGTCTGATACTGGAGCAAGAGCGGGCGGGGCGTGTCCGACGTGTCGCCCAAGACTTCAACTATTTCCAGAACTTGGCTGTATTCGGATGGTCGGCAAACGCGTTTCGGGATCGGTATTTTTCCGAGCGGGGTCGGAGGACCACCGGCGATGCCTTTTTCCCAACCAAGCAAAATTAAATCATTGGTCCGTGCGCGCCAGATCACAAAATAATGTGCTCCCGAACAGCGTTGCGCAAGGAGAGCTGGATGGTCCGCGAACGCGGCTGCTGGCTGGCTGGAACGTCTACGCAAATCGTGACATTGACACCAGCGATGCTGACCACGAGCGGCGCAGAGGCTGAGGGGCCCTTCGTATGGAAGACCTCGGGGCACTTGCGGACATGGCCGCAAACGAACAGATGGTTGCAGACCCAACCAGGGGAGCTCAATCAGATTCTACGAAGTTGCTCGGGGTCCCCGGGGCTTTGTGGTTACGAGTCGGGTCGGGGATCTCGATTTAGGTCATGGAAGAGAAGACAAGGCTCGCAATCGGATCCTTCGAGGCTCTCCAACGACGAAACATGTACAAGGGGTCCACCGAAAGGGCTTGCGCCCAGCATCCCAGGGGCCTGGCCCGCTAGGTTCAGTTCACCAGCCACAACCACCAGGCGCGAGGAGGTAGAGAAGGAAAACAACAACGAGACGACAACGAACTGCTTCGGCGATATTCCGTCGTTTTCCCACAGACAACCCGCGAAGGTAAACGTTAAAGTGAAATATCAAACTACCCTCCGAAAGCAGTGTGGGTAGCTCCAAGACTCCTCCAAGAACGAAAGCGTTTCGTTGAACGCCTCTTGTTTCATTGTTAATTGGTCGAAGTTCGGGAAGACGGCGACGACGCCGCAAGCGCGGGAGTTCGGGCAGAGCGAGGAGGCGAGGGAGAAGGCAGAATTGGCGAAGTACGCGAAATCCTTCTGCTCAGGGGGGGTCCCATGAAACTCCTGGGTCGCGATGACCGAACGAGGCTGCCACAGGGACTTCAGCATGCTAAGCTTCTGGGGGGAAGCGCGGGTCTTATAATTGAGCAGCGCTTGGGCGCTCCACGTCGCCAGCTTCGCAACATGACCATGTTGTTAGTTTCCCGGGTACCGGCCAATACCCGGCGGGGGGGTTCGGGCGGGAATGTAACGGTAATGGCGGCGGCGTGCGCCCGTCAGGGTGCATCCAGGACACCGGCGCCTCAATCGCCTGTGTGGATCGCGCTCCCTGTGCACACGACAATGCCCAATGCCTGCGGCCAACACAGCGCCACCTGTGTAAAAACCATAGTGCTTTCGTACACCACACCAGCCGCGTGCACTGCAGCACCACGTCGCTTTTGCACACCGCAGTGTTTGTGTATACTGCAGCAGTCCTGTGCGCAATAGTGCCCATGTGCACCGCATTGCTTGCGCGCACCAGAATGCCAGCACCGTGAAACTGGATCACCTCAGGATTCCTCATACAACAAATGATTGGTACAAAATTACGCCCTGGATTCTGCAGACAACCATTGTTTACAATAGGATTCTCAAAATAAGCCCAATGGAAAATGGAGCGCACGCGTGCACCACAACGCCTGCATACACCACAACAATTGTGTACACCACAGCATCCGCGTGTAACGCAACGTCGGTGTACACCACAATGCCCACGTGCACCACAGCGGTTGCGTACGCCACAGCGCCTGTGTACACCGCAGCAGCCGTGTGCAATGCACCGCCGGTGTGCACCACGCTGCGCGCTTGAACAAAAGCGCCCGCGCACACCACAGCGCCTGCGGGAGAAGACGCGGGCAGCCCAGTCTTTAGTTTCTCCATGGCGCTGGGTCTACAATCGTGGCGCTGGCTGGGGGGGGTGAGGAGGGGATGGGAATAAGCGGGAAAAAAGGTAGGATGAAGTGAGAAGACTCGGGAAGACGTTGCAAGGGAATCAAGGAGGCGGGGAGCCGCCTAGTCCTCGTCTCCTCCATTGCGTTGGGTACGGTAGGCTCGTGTCGCGATGACGTCGGCGTTGGTTTCGAACTCTGCGTGGATCGTTCAATCTTGGATCTTGGACGATCTCCGCTCGCTCCCAGAGGACCCTGCAGACCGCCGACCCCATCTCCGATGTGGATTTCGCGCCGCGAGCTCGTTTCTGCAGGTCCCGCGGCCCGAAACGACCCTCTGGGTCGCGATCATCGGGGATCTTCTGACCCGGGTCAATCCAGACCCGGGTCAGCAGGAAACCAAAAACTGCAATGCAGGAACAAAAAACTGCAACGCAGATCTTCGCAAACCCGGGTCAGCCAATATGTGCGGCCGCCTCGCGGCCACGAGCGGCTCGCTAACCCGGGTCAGCCAGAGGGGGTCTCTGCAGGATCCTGCAGGATCTGGCGCCCTGGCTGACCCCCGTCTGCATTGACCCCCGTCTCTTGGCTCCCGAGATCAACCTTGAACGCATGTGCCGGCGTTGCCGCCGCTTCAACGCGGCGCGGCCGCAAACACCTGGCCAGTGGGAAGAGTGCCCAAACATTCTGCAGCTGCCGCCCAACCGACTTGCCGCCCTCCGAGCGGGCACCTTGGCAGTGAGTCCACCTGACCTACGCGCGCCGCAATAGCCTGCAAGCGCCACGACGCGCATGTGAGTACCCAATCATGCCCTTCAGCACCACGACATGCCTGCGAGCTCGGCGCCGCAACAGGTGGCGAGCCTGCGAGCGCCACAGCACGCCTGTGAGCGCCAAGGCGTGCAGTTCAGACCACGCTATGCCTGTGAGCACAGCGCCATGATTGCGGGGCGGCCGCTCCCAGCATGTATGGGGGGACCCCCCCCCCCCCAGCACGATCGTTAGCGTTATCCGGGGGGGAATCGGGTAACGAGCGTTACGCTGGGGAGGAATAAAACGCTCACAGAAGTCAGCGCTCCCGTGGTATCTGCATAAACGAGGGAGCATGCTAGATGCTCCACGCGGTCTCAGCTGGCATCCGGTAGCCAATCGTGACACCATTGTATATGGTCTGCTAGTCGATGTCGGGGATGCAGTGGTTCTCGAGGCAGAAGGAAGGATGGCTTCGGAGGGGCCTCTCCCGCCTGCGGTTCCACGTGCACTAGCGGCTTCCCCGGTCACGAGATCTCACCCTTGTCGTTGTAGCTGTAAAAGCGGAGGTTGGGATGACGAACCTCGCGTTCGCGACGAAGTCGTTTGGGGCCCAGTTCGCGTTTGGCCTGGGCCATGTGCTTGTCGGCGGAAATGGAAATCTCTTGCGTGCGTTTGTCTCGGGCCTGACACTCGAATCGTCCCCATGTATTGTCATACTTGCGCAGGGCCTGGACTGCGTACGGGATCGATCCGTTGATGCGCTAGCACGCACTTGGAGACCACAAGCCCCCCCTCGACAAGGCAGTCCGAGTCAGTGATCAGCGCGCGGCCTGGCCAATCGCCGAGGGCAGCGATGACACCGGCGTTGGCGCAGGAGAGCTTGGTGCGAATGAGCAAGATGGTTGGGTCCGTGGCCCGAATGAAGCCAGGAGCAGCGACAGGAGGAGGCCTGGCGCTCTTTATGTCGCCCAGCACGGTCTGCAGCGAGCGGATCCGCCCTTCATGTGCGGACTGCTTGTTCTCGTTGAGGTTGATACGGTGCTCGACGCGAGCGTCGGGGTCGTCCCAGCTTTTCGTAAAGGTGCTCCAGAGCAAAGTCATGGAGATCCGGACATTGGCGAGAGCCGCGAGCATGGTCTTCTTGGAGACACCCACGTATTCGCGAAGGCTAGCAGCGTCTCCAGCGGAGATGTTGGCAACCACTCTTTGCCGCTTGTTCGCTTCGTCGATGGCGGCGATCTCGGTGGCCTCCGACGGGAAGGTCGGAGCCGGAGCTGCATCCAGCTGAGCAAGAAGTGCAGCGTTATGGGACAAGGCTGAGAGGCACTGCGAGTGAGAACAAAGGAGGCCAGCTGCGGCCGGGACAGACACACAGCAAGAACGAGAAATAAATACGAGCGTCCCCGAATGGTTGTCGCACAGCGGCGGGAACCTCGGTTCGAAATCCCGCGACAAGGATTTCGAGCCTCGAACCAAAATGGCTTGAGCCAAGATGGCAACGGACCTCCTCCTCCTCCTCCTCCTCCTCCTCCTGCTCCTCCTCCTCCTCCTGCTCCTTCTCATCCTGCTCCTGCTCCTCCTCCTGCTCCTCCTACTCCTCCTCCTCCTCCTCGCGCGCACCCTTGGACACCTGGAAGCCTGAAGGCTGCCTTGGGATCTCGGAGGGCCAAGCGTGGCGGCACGGGCCAGCCCTAGAGGTCCCCGTTGAGGCCTCAAGGCGGACTTACTCAAGCCCCACCAGACCTGCTGGAAAAGCCTGGGGGATCAGGGAGGACGGTTTTCGAGGAGGACCGATGATCGAGGGAGATCGATGATCGAGAGCCGAGATTCGAGGATCAACGCTGCGGGACTCTTTTAAGCCGTTCTGGGCATCATGCAGCGCCCTCGTCGTCACGACTGGGTCCGTGTGGAATTTGTGGCCGGGACGCTCCCCAGGGCAGGTCCAGGGGTTGATTTTGACACCCGAGTCCAGCATGAGCGCTGGCAAAGATCCCAGCCAATCCCCCGTGACAGTAAAACATCGCGATAGAACCTCGGCGGGAGGCGTTCGTGCTCCATCTACGGACAGATGCTGCTCGAAAGATGCGTAAAGGCGGTACGGTTCGGGAGCACTGGTCGCCAATATTCACGAAGTTGTGCTGCACGAGGCCCGACGCCAAGATCCAGAGAGGCGCGCGACGTCGTCGTGCCGCGAGGCGCTCTGGGCGCAACGGCGACGTGGCCGCCGCGGGATGATCCACGGCTCCTCTCCACAGCGTTATCATGTCCTGGGGTCGGAAGGATCAGGAGATGGAGCAGGAGGAGAGGCGATGTGCAGGACAACGGAAACAGGCCCGCCTGCCATGCGCAGCTTTCGCTCAGGGCGCATCTTCCAGTTGACTGGGTACCACCTCGGAAGCACCCCCACGGTCTGCGCAGATCCGCGGCCTGGTCTTGGGGAACGCTAGCTATGCACCAAAACCAATGCTGGCCAGGCCCATCCCTGGCCCAGGGGCCCACAGTTGGCCTGGCCAACATGTGCGTCTTGCCAACCACTGGAGAAAAGAGTCCTGAGGGAAACAGGCCCTCAACCTTTCGCCCAGGGCCGTTTTCTGATGGTCTTCTTCATGGCGAGGTGCACATGTCTGGCTGGTGTAAACAAGGCTAGGATCGGGATAAATCGCTCCAGAGCGTTCCGGAGCGCTCTCAGAGCGTTCTGGAACGCTCTGGAGCGGCCGCGGCGCCCAGTACATCCTCCAAACCCGCCGACTCTCAGAGATTTCGAGTTATCCCGATCCGATTTTGTCTCGATCTTCGCGTCGTTTTGTGGTGCCCCCCGGAGCGCGGACCCGCCCCGTGCAGCCGTGTCCACGAGGGCTCCTTGGGAGGCCCAAGCACACCAGGAGAAACGCCGACATCCTGGAGGCCCGACCTCTGCCCCTCGTCGCGCCGCCACTCGTCGCGCCGCCAGTGATCCACGGCTTGATCCCGATCCCGATCTTGGCCGGCCTGGGCCGTCCCTTCAAAGTGGGGGCTGAAAGCTCGTCGCGCCGCCAATGATCCACGGCTTGATCCCGATCCCGATCTTGGCCGGCCTGGGCCGTCCCTTCAAAGTGGGGGCCGAAAGGGGTTGGGGGATGATCGGGTCGGGCGAAAGGGGGGGATAGGGGGGGGTTGAGAATCAGCTCACGTAGCTGATTTTCCCGGCGCCTCCCGGCGCCGGAGGCGGCCATGTATCGAGGAATGGGCCCCTCGGTCAGGCCGAAACCAGCTGCATGCAGCAAATTTCGTACCCCCCCCCTTTCCCAATCCCCCCCTTTCGCCCGACCCGAGATGAGACCGACATGAAACGTGAAGTGCCCCTGTATAGCTAGAGAATCGATGTCGGCGTTGGTTCGCGTCGTACGTAATGTGCGTGCGGGCGGGGCGAGACGAAGCTGCGCGGGTTCGTCATCGAGTAGAGGCCAAGTCAAACAAAAATAAGTCGCCCCCCCGGCGGCCGTGGCGCGGGGTTGCCCCGATAGGCTGCCCTGACGTTTGTACCGACGGATTTCTCGATGGTTGTTCGCATAATTGTCCTAATGCTTGACCTGATGGTTGTCCCAATGGTTGGCCCGATGGTTTTCCTGGTGGCTGTCCCGATGGTTGTCCCGATGGTTGTCCCAATAGTTGTCCGGATCGTAGACCCGATGGTTGTCCCGATGACTGCCCCGATGGATAAACAGATAGTTATATCAACAGGTAATCGGATAATGGTATCTAGATTATGGTAGCCAGCCCGACAGATAGTGAGAACGATACATGCGATGGAAATCTGGACCGACACGTGGATGAACAAGGTTGTTGTCCCTCTGGTTGTTCTGATGGTTGTCATTAACAGATTGATACACAGATCGGGATATCTACATCCATGTCAAGACAACTCTGACTGTGTAGAGCGGTAGTGGGTCAAGGTACCATGTAGACCTGTACGTCAATATGGCATCCGTAGTGATGATTCGAGGTGTCTCGCCTGAGTTGAATAGTTGACGCGTGCGCGGTATGCAGCTCAGAGATGGTACCATTCCCACCAAAATGTCCCTATCACCCAAATGCGGGCACCTCTCTCTCTCTCTCTCTCTCCCTATGAATGTATCTGTATATATATATATATAGACATGCGTGTGTATATATATATGTATATACACACTAGCATGGTCCAAGAAAGCTGCGAGTCGACGAGAGATCGTTCCAAAACGCCGAAGATTGCATGCAGACGGCCCCGTCAGCCCCCAAGGCTCTTAAACAAATACTGCGAGGCGCCCCACGAAGGCCCTCCAGAAGCAAAAATCGTCCCATTCCCCATGGGAAACGTAGATTTGCTCATTCGCCGTTTGGGCTTCCACGCGGCCCACACCGGCCCAAGACGTTTCCAAAATCAACCCTCCGCAGCCCAAAAGGCTCCCAAAAAGGCTCCACGACGGTTTCCAAGCGATCCACGAATGCTCCTGAAACCATAACAACGGCCCGGGAGAGCCGCAGGACGGTCCCAAGAGGGCTCCAAAACGGGCAAACGGGGTCCCCAAAGGCTGCCCAGACGGCCCACGCGGGGGACGATTCGGTCCAACCCGCCCAGGATTGCGTCCAGACGGATCCATAGGCTCCCAAGACGTTTGATTATCCCGGCAAAGCAACCTAACAGCGATGTGTATAAGCATATCTGGAAGCATTCCCCTTAAGATTCAAGTGAAAATGCAGTTGTAGAATTTTGCTGTTCTCGCAGTCGCAGTCGCATTCGCAATGACAGTCGCAGTGGCAACGGCCTTAGGATCAAATGGAATCCTAAAGATTCCTAGGGATTCCTAAGGCATCCTTAGGCATCCTTAGGAATCCAAAGGAATCCTTAGGAATCCAAAGGAATCCTTAGGAATCCTGATTCCTAGGGATTCCGATGGATTCCTAAGGATTCCTGAAGAATCCGAAGGATTCCTCAGGATTCCTGAGGATGCTTAACTATGCTACGGATTCCTAAGAATCCCTACGGATTCCTAAGAATATTCCTAGGGATTCCTAAGGATTCCTATGGATTCCTACGGATGCCTCAGCCTGCATCAGTTTCAGCCTCAGCCTCAGCCTGCCTCGGCTTGCCTCAGCCTCAGCCTCAGCCCGCCTCGGCCTCAGCCTCAGCCTGCCTCAGCCTCAGCGTCTGTCCTGCCTCGGCCTCAGCCTGCGTCAGCCTCAGCCTCAGCCTGCCTCAGCCTCAACCTGCCTCAATCACTGTTCCTTACTAGCCGGCCGCTCTGCGGTTGATCGGGAGTTTCTGTATATAGAAGAAGGTGCGTGCGCTTGTTGGCGAGGGTGAGGATGAGGTCCTCCTCCTCCTCCTCCTCCTCCTCCTCCTCCTCCTCCTCCATCCTTCTCTTGCCTCCGTCTGTCCTCCTCCACCCCACAGCTCCATCATCTTCTCCTCCTCCTCCTCCTCCTCCTCCTCCTCCTCCTCCTCCTCCTCCTCCTCCTCCTCCTCCTCATTCCTCCTCTGGGCACCTCCCCCGGGGCGCGGATCCACCGGATCTGTCCGGATCTGTCCGGAAACGGTGCCGGAGGCCGCTCTGGGCTCCTCTGGGCACCTCCCCCGGGGCCGGTTTTGTGAGGATGTCTCAAGCGAGGGCGCCGGTTTGGGATTCGTCGGCGGATCAACCGGATCCAGCGGATCTGTCCGGAAACGGTGCCGGAGGCCGCTCTGGGCTCCATGGGCACCTCCCCCGGGGCCAGTTTGGGATTCGTCGGCGGATCCACCGGATCCAGCGGATCTGTCCGGAAACGGTGCCGGAGGCCGCTCTGGGCTCCTCTGGGCACCTCCCCCGGGGCCGGTTTTGTGAGGATGTCTCAAGCGAGGGCGCCGGTTTGGGATTCGTCACCGGATCCCGGATCCACCGGATCTGTCCGGAAACGGTGCCGGAGGCCGCTCTGGGCTCCTCTGGGCACCTCCCCCGGGGCCGGTTTTGTGAGGATGTCTCAAGCGAGGGCGCCGGTTTGGGATTCGTCACCGGATCCACCGGATCTGTCCGGAAACGGTGCCGGAGGCCGCTCTGGGCTCCTCTGGGCACCTCCCCCGGGGCCGGTTTTGTTGTCTCAAGCGAGGGCGCCGGTTTGGGATTCGTCGGCGGATCCACCGGATCTGTCCGGAAACGGTGCCGGACTCTGGGCTCCTCTGGGCACCTCCCCCGGGGCCGGTTTTGTGAGGATGTCTCAAGCGAGGGCGCCGGTTTGGGATTCGTCCGGATCCAGCGGATCTGTCCGGAAACGGTGCCGGAGGCCGCTCTGGGCTCCTCTGGGCACCTCCCCCGGGGCCGGTTTTGTGAGGATGTCTCAAGCGAGGGCGCCGGTTTGGGATTCGTCACCGGATCCACCGGATCTGTCCGGAAACGGTGCCGGAGGCCGCTCTGGGCTCCTCTGGGCACCTCCCCCGGGGCCGGTTTTGTGAGGATGTCTCAAGCGAGGGCGCCGGTTTGGGATTCGTCACCGGATCCACCGGATCTGTCCGGAAACGGTGCCGGAGGCCGCTCTGGGCTCCTCTGGGCACCTCCCCCGGGGCCGGTTTTGTGAGGATGTCTCAAGCGAGGGCGCCGGTTTGGGATTCGTCACCGGATCCAGCGGATCCAGCGGATCTGTCCGGAAACGGTGCCGGAGGCCGCTCTGGGCTCCTCTGGGCACCTCCCCCGGGGCCGGTTTTGTGAGGATGTCTCAAGCGAGGGCGCCGGTTTGGGATTCGTCGGATCACCGGATCCACCGGATCTGTCCGGAAACGGTGCCGGAGGCCGCTCTGGGCTCCTCTGGGCACCTCCCCCGGGGCCGGTTTTGTGAGGATGTCTCAAGCGAGGGCGCCGGTTTGGGATTCGTCGGCGGATCCACCGGATCTGTCCGGAAACGGTGCCGGAGGCCGCTCTGGGCTCCTCTGGGCACCTCCCCCGGGGCCGGTTTGTGAGGATGTCTCAAGCGAGGGCGCCGGTTTGGGATTCGTCGGCGGATCCACCGGATCCACCGGATCTGTCCGGAAACGGTGCCGGAGGCCGCTCTGGGCTCCTCTGGGCACCTCCCCCGGGGCCGGTTTTGTGAGGATGTCTCAAGCGAGGGCGCCGGTTTGGGATTCGTCGGCGGATCCACCGGACCGGATCTGTCCGGAAACGGTGCCGGAAGCCGCTCTGGGCTCCTCTGGGCACCTCCCCCGGGGCCGGTTTTGTGAGGATGTCTCAAGCGAGGGCGCCGGTTTGGGATTCGTCGGCGGATCCACCGGAGCCAGCGGATCTGTCCGGAAACGGTGCCGGAGGCCGCTCTGGGCTCCTCTGGGCACCTCCCCCGGGGCCGGTTTTGTGAGGATGTCTCAAGCGAGGGCGCCGGTTTGGGATTCGTCACCGGATCCACCGGATCTGTC